ACCTACGCTGACTGTGGTGGTTATACTGTGTTATGTGAAATGTTAAAATACAGGATCTCAGGTTCTCACAGCAGTGATTATGCAGAGCTCTGTCTTGTGGGTTATAACGTCATGTGGTCCCTTGAAAATCAACCGACGTTATGGAGGAAAATATCGCCCCTGTCTTCAGGGTCGAAGAATAAGCCAAGCAAGAAACCAACATGAAGTTAGGAACCTCGCTCGAATATAGAACTTTTCAAAAGTTAAAATGTTGTTAAACTTAAAATGATAAAAATTCCACAAGTTTTCCGAGTTTTTCATACTGCTGATTCACTTGCAGGACCGCCTCTGTGCTCTAGTGCTCAGAGTTCCTGACTACAGGTCCTGAGTTCCCGGGTTCAATTCCCGGCACTACCAGATTATCTGAAAAGTAGTGGGTGTGGAACAGGGCCCACTCAGCCTCGTGAGGATAATTGAGTAGCTATTTCAAGGAAATAGCGGGTCCGGTCTAGAATACCGAGATTAACGGCAGTGGGAATCCGTTACGATGACCACGCCACATCCTCTATCCGCTAATAGTTGATACTAACTTCTGTTGTATTTTAGCGTCCTGTTGCACTGATTTAAGTCCATGATTTATTTAAACCGTCTTGCAGTGCATACACTCATTCATCTCCTTCTCTTCCTTGCACTACATGTTTCGGCATAACAATGCCATCTTCAGGTGCTTACTTATCCACGCCAAACCAGTTCATTGCATGCCTTGTTCTAATATTAAAATAACCAAAATATGTATCTATCATATACATTGTCAAACGTTAAAAATATTAAAATTGTTCAGGATACCACATCGGTACGTCGCCCCTCACTACGCCAGTCACGCCCATTCTCCTTTGTTGGAGCCCTCCTTCACTGTCTTGTGCGTGTTGTGCTTTTGTTCTGTCTTGCTCCTGTGACTGCGTGTGTGTGGTATCCTGAACAATTTTAATATTTTTAACGTTTGACAATGTATATGATAGATACATATTTTGGTTATTTTAATATTAGAACAAGGCATGCAATGAACTGGTTTGGCGTGGATAAGTAAGCACCTGAAGATGGCATTGTTATGCCGAAACATGTAGTGCAAGGAAGAGAAGGAGATGAATGAGTGTATGCACTGCAAGACGGTTTAAATAAATCATGGA